CCACTCCCCACCAACCCCTGCATTACGAGGTATCGTTGGGGAGTGTTGTGAGATAGATAAGTTATATAGGGTATGTTATCACAAAAAAGACACCGACAAAGGCTGAGCAGTAGAATGTACTACCAAAAGCCGCCAGTAAGTGACCACACACGCAAGGCCTTTTGTTCCAACTGTTCCTTTCAGTAAGGTTTTTACGGCGCTCTCAACTGAATAAGGTAATATGAGAGCCAAGGGGTGGATGTGAACAGAGAAGTCCTTACAGGGAATCAGACTTACTCTGATCACCTCTCTAGCCTCAACAGCACAAGGTCTGCTTCAACTATCAAGGCATCCTGGAAATAACAGTTCACAAGACAGTGACAAACATACGAAAGAAGTAGTGGAAAATGACAATAGTAAGGATGATGAAAGAAAAAGCAACAGTTCCCACTGTGTTGTTCCGGCACAGTATGAGCATGACATTGATAAATCAGCCCATTTACAATTCTACTGTGCATAAGAACATGTTAATATCCCCCCCCCCGCCTATTTGGGAATGGTCTAAAGACAGTCAGGGGCACTGCCCTGTGGTGGGGGGGGGGGTCCAACTGTGCACAGGTACACCACACAAAGAAATGCCACGAGAAGAGAAAAAGTACTGACTTTAGAAAATGTATATTTCATACTCAATATGAATCTTATGCCTGAAATGATTAGGTTTGCTCCTTCCTGTCATCCTTATCTCTCCTCTGTCTTTTCTTTGTATGTTTCCCTAAAGTAATACCTCTAATCTTCGGCATCTATAATAAGGACAAGTGGGCTAACCCAGATTTCGGGGGATTTCCAGAAATCTTAACCTACACCAAAGTGGACATTACCCTACCTATAGGAGACGTTTGGTTACATTGGTGTGTATATTGGTTTGGAGATAGAGAAAACTCTCCTTGTCTTTTAAAGAAACTGAACAAGGGGCAAAAACGTTATCTTCCATCTTCCATCCATTTTTCGGGATAGCCCCCTTGTTCTTAAAAGTGACCGTATGGCCTAACTGTGTTGCAAATGCCATAAAACGCAGGCAGACTGAGACGAACTCACCTCAAAGATCACCGCGAGGAGTGTCGACAAAAGAAGTCTGTCCATCGTTCTCGGCCCTGCTATTTCCACAGTCGGTCACAAGATCTTAGGTCACTCTGTGGTCACTGCTATTGATGAAGACAGACCGTCCAACTCTTTCTGTCCACTGATATACAGAGACAACTGTTATCTGACCACTGGTATAGAGACAACTCTATCTGTTATCTGACCACTGGTATAGAGACAACTCTATCTGTTATCTGTCTCTGATATAGAAACAACTCTATCTTTCTACTGATATTCAGACCAACTCTATAAGTCCACTGATATATGGACAACTCTGTCTGCCAACTGATATAGAGTCCACTGATATTGAGACCAACTCTATCTGTCTACTGATATATAGAAAACTCTATCTATTCCTGGCCTCGTTATTTACGTCGTAATTGAGCCTCTGACGGACACAG